TGTCCCCTGTCCCCATCTCTCTGCCATCTCCCCTGTCCCTCTGCCATGTCCCCTGTCCCCATCTCTCTGCCATCTCCCCTGTCCCCATCTCTCTGCCATGTCCCCTGTCCCTCTGCCATGTCCTCTGTCCCCATCCCTCTGCCATCTCCCCTGTCCCGTGTCCCCTGTCCCCATTCCTCTGTGGTGTTCCCTGTCCCCATGCCCTGCCATCTCCCCTGTCCCCAACCCTCTGTCGCCTCCCCTGTCCCCAACCCTGTGCCATCTCCCCTGTCCCTCTGCCATGTCCCCTGTCCCCATCCCTCTGCTGTGTCCCCTGTCCCTCTGCCATCACCCCTGTGCCATCTCCCCAGTGCCATCCCCACACCTGAGACCCTTGTCCCTTTGCCGTGCCACTGTCCCCATGCCATGTCCCCTGTCCCTTTGCCATGTCCCCTGTCCCCGTGCCATGTCCCCTGTCCCTGTGCTATGTCCTCTGTCCCTGTGCTGTCCCCGTGCTGTCCCCACACCCGAGATCCCCATCCCCAAGCTGTGTCCCCTGTCCCTGTGCCGTCCCCACACCTGAGACCCTTGTCCCTTTGCTGTGCCACTGTCCCCGTGCCACGTCCCCTGTCCCTGTGCCTTGTCCCCTGTCCTTGTGACCTGCCCAGACCTGAGACCCTTGTCCCTTTGCTGTGCCACTGTCCCATGCCGTGTCCCCTGTCCCTGTGCTGTCCCCACACCCGAGATCCCCATCCTTTTGCCGTGCCACTGTCCCATGCCACATCCCCTGTCCCTGTACCACATCCCCTGTCCCTGTGCCATCCCCACACCTGAGACCCTTGTCCCTTTGCCGTGCCACTGTCCCATGCCGTGTCCCCTGTCCCTGTGCTGTCCCCACACCCGAGACCCCCATCCTTTTGCCGTGCCACTGTCCCATGCCGTGTCCCCTGTCCCTGTGCTGTCCCCTGGCCCAAGACCCCTGTCCCTTTGCTGTGCCCCTGTCCCATGCCATGTCCCCTGTCCTCACGCCATGTCCCTGTGCTGTCCCCTTGCCCAAGACCCCTGTCCCTTTGCTGTGCCACTGTCCCATGCCATGTCCCCTGTCCCCATGCCATGTCCCCTGTCCTTGTCCCCTGTCCCTGTGCTGTCCCCACACCCAAGACCCCCATCCCTTCACCGTGCCAGCCCCTCTCCTCCCCGTGCCGTCCCCATGCTGACCCCATGCCGTGCCAGCCCCGCGTCCCCATCCCTGCCCCGGAG